CGAAAGCAAAGCATCACGCACAGATCATTGCTAAGGTAAGGAACCCACACTTCGGCTAGCAGACTGCGCTTTTGGAAAGCAGACCTCCACTTTGCGATATAAAAGAGTTCCCCCACTCTCTTGGGAACTGATGATCAATTACTGTTCGCAGTGAACTATTTTCTACACTTAATTACAACTTTTGTCTCCTGATAAAATGTAGATAAAAATGAGGTGTATGACTTTATGAACGATAGCTCTAATTGATAGCCGTGGAGGGCACAAGTGCGCCTAACTTCTGCAACATTTAACCTGACCGTCATTTATCACTAAAAGTAAGACCACTATGCTGATAATCCTTGCCAAACAATGATAGAAACTCTTATAAAAATTTTAGATTTAGCTGTAAATGCCATTAATTTAGATTGCTGGGAAAATATTTTCAATTGCTGGATATGTACAAAACATCTTTCTACGAAACTAACTGAATTAAAGGGAATTTTTACAGTGAGCCTGATAGAAGTGTAGAATTACAAAAAAAATCAGTTATCTTTGCGGAATATTCATGCATGATCCCCACAATTTTTTCGAAAGCTTTATAAGCTTGAAGAAAGCACTGGTAGGTGAACAGAATGAATTTGCTTATGTTATGTTATGCTGTGCCCCGAGCTATGCACAAAGGGCGCCCTAGATTACCAGACTGGCAATGGCTATTGTTCGTAAAGTCTCCCATCCCACTGTGTGAGGACAAGAAATGCTCTATGTACAAAATGATTAGGTTCAATGGAATATGGCATTTAGGTACACTATTTATTCATTACTTTTTAAGGCTACGGAGTGATGGCAGCATTCTCTACAGTCGTCGTCTCTCTCTCGTTGTTACTTGTGGTAAGAGAATGTTGTTTCAATTCATTATCCATCTTGCATTGGCTTTTTTAGGTATGGATTTAACGCTGTTTCCATTCGACTCGCAGCTTTGTAAACTCGGTATTGAGAGTTGTAAGTGCATTTCTATGCAGTAAGAGAAGTCAGTTGCAATAAGAAGCTGTTTCATAGATGGTTACACAGCCGACCAAGTACGCTATGTGTGGTCACAGGGTCGAATCAAAGCACTTATACTACATAAAATTCGTCTACCGGACTTTCAGATTAAGGAAAGCTTTGTGACGAGTCGCGTTGAAAGTTATGCAACTGGTGGGTAATATTATATAATCTTTAGGTATTAACTTGATGCTGAACTCTCTCAGATAATATAGGTCGATTTGAAACCCACAAGGCAATTTAATATTACTAATAGACGTATTCTATTCGGGGACAAAACATGGAGTTCTTAAAGTTGGTCATTGGGCGAGTGGAGGCCATTAAAAATGACTCACTGGTACTCTTTTGCTTTAGAGGAGCCAAAATCTCAAATTTTAG